GGATCTCTGTGAGTTTGAGGCCAGCCTGGTCTCCAGAGTGCCAGGATAGGCTCCAAAGCTACACAGAGAAACCCTGTCTCGAAAAACCAAAGAAAAAAATTCCCATTCCTCACCCGACCTATCCCATAGGCAGCCGTCCTAAGGTGGTTAGTGTGTTTCTGATTTTACGTGTGATTTCCAGAGATGTTGGTTGTGTTTTTGGGAAAAGGGCTTTTTTTTTTTTTTTTTTTTTTGCAGGTGTGGTAATGTCTTATTAAAAAAAAAAAGGTACTCTGTTTTTAGGGTCAATCCATGTGCACGCGTACATCTGTAAATGTTATTTTATTTTTTTTAATTGCTTGTGCACTGGTGTTTTGCCCGCATGTATGTTATGTGTGATGGTGCCGGATCCTTTGGAATTGGAGGTAGAGTTGTGAGCTGTCATGTAGGTGCTGGGAATTGAACTTAAATCCTCCAAATGAGCATCCAGTGCTCTTAATGGCTGAGCCATCTCTCCAGCTTTTTTGTTTTTAAAGACAGGGTCTCAGAACTGGCTCTGTATGTGGATCAGGCTGTCCTGGAACTCAGATCTTCGTGCCTCTGCCTCCGAGCAATTAAAGGCGTAGGCCACCACCGCCAGGCTGCATGAGTATATGTAATGGATTACTTCTAACGGTGTGTGATATTCCATGGTGTACCTTCCTGTAAGTTGTGCACTCCGTTAGTTTCAGGACGGGCTGATCCTTTTGCCCAAGCCCATCATCGCAAAGATGGTTCCTCCTCATACACTGGAGGGTGGAGATTTTCATTATGCTTGGCTAGACTATTCTAGAAGTGGGTGTTTGTAAGCCTAGTTTTATTGTTGTCAGACTTCTCCCCGCATTAGGCTTGAGACACTTGATTGGGATTCCCAATTCCTCTTTTCCCAGGGGTCCCATTTGTCAAAAAATACTTGAGTTTTTAACAAAGAAAAACCCCCCCTTCCCCCCCCCCCCCGCCGCTAATTGCTAACACTTGTCCTTTCCCAGCTTTCCAACTGGTGTCAGCCTTTGGGGTGTATAATGAGGGTATAGTTTGCAAGATGATTGCGTTTCCCAGGTTACAGTTAGAGTTGAGCACCTCCTCCAGTGCCTGCTAGCCTTTGTGCCTTTGCTCTTAGGTGGAAAGTTTCCTCACAGGCTGAGCCTAGGCTCACTCTTTTTTTTCTTGCTGGTGATCTTTAGTCTTGTTGGTTTAAAGTATTACATATTTTCTTGTGCCAGTTTGTGTCTTTTGGTGTTTTGTTTATGTTTCACATAGGATTTCATGTAGGCTAGGTTAGCCTTGAACTTGTTAAGTATTTCAAGGTGATCTTGAACTTCTGGTCCGCTAGGCTCCCCCCACCCCTTTACAAATGTTGGAATTACAGGCATTGGCCACCATGGTATATTAATATGAAGCTGACATTGGTGCTGAAACTAGATCATATTTAGTTTCTTGCAGATTTTATATGCATTCCTGTGTGTGATATGCAACATCGTTGTTATTGTTCAGCTCTAGATACTATTTTTAATTTTGCAGTCAATGGACCCTGTATGTTTTAAAAATATCTCTTTCAAATTTTATTTTTTTTTATATTCTAATCCCAGTTCCCCTTCACTCCTCCCCTCCTGCTCTCCTCTCCTTCCCACCGTCCTACCTCCCATCCGCTCCTCAGAAAGGGTAAAGCCTCCCTCAGGATGTCAGTCCTCCCGTCACCTCCTTGAGACAGGACCAGGGTCCCCACCCACCCCCATGTCTAGGCTGAGCAAGGTATCTCTCCATAGAGAATGGACTCCATAAAGTCAGTTTATGCATTATAGTTAGATCTTGGTCCCATTGTCAGTGGCTTCATATACTGCCCAAGCCACACCATTGTCACATGTGTTTAGGGGTCTTAGTTCAGTCCTATGCCAGTTCCCCAGTTGGCAGCTCAGAGTCAGTGATCTCTCACTAACTGGTCAGCTGATTCCGTGGGTTTCCCCATCATGGTCTTGACTCCTTTGTTCGTATTATCGCTCCTCCCTCGCTTTGATTGTCCTTCGGGAGGTCGGTCCAATGGCGAGTTACAGATCTCCATATCTGCTTCCATCTGTTTCTGGAAGAGGGATCTAGCTTCTCTGGGGTTGTGGACTCTAGGCTGGTTATCCTTTGCTTTATGTCTGGTATTTACTTATGAGTGAGTACATACTGTATTTGTCTTTCTGGGTCTGGGTTACCTCACTAGGGATTTTTTTTTTCTAGTTCTGTCCATTTGTTTGCAAATGTAGAGATGTTATTGTTCCTTACTGAGGAGTATCAGTTGTAAATACTTTTTAATTTCCTTAGTAAACAAAAGGGATTTGAGAGTTAATTAACATTTATTCTCTCACAGGCTTTTTTGTGCTTGAGGCAGGGTCTCATGTACTGGGTTGGGTTGCTTCTTTGGCCTGGCTGACCTTAAATTTAGGGCATCCTCCAGTGTGCTGGGGTTACCGGTGTGCAGCTGTGATCCATTCTGCTTGGCTTACAAAGTTCTAACCCTCAATTTGCTGTTCGGATGTCCTTGCATTTGGCTGGAGAACAGCCTGTACATGGTGGGTCTTTGGATCAGCGCCATGGCTAGAGGGAGGACCTCTGCAATACCATGAGAGGTGTTCTTTGAAGAGCCCCCACCTTTGCCAGGGCGGTGGTGGTACAAGCCTTTAATTCCAACACTTGGGAGGCAGAGGCGGGTGGTTTGAGGCCAACCTGGTCTACAGAGTTCCAGGACAGTTACACAGAGAAACCCCAGGGAGAGGGGGAGGAAAAAGCAGATAATGGTGGGTGTGAATTATTTTGTAGGGAAGACCACAGAGAGGGGAAGCCTGTGTTATTGAAGGTTTCAAGGGAGCCCATACCACAGCTACTAACATGGTCACTTTTCTTTAGAAACAGTTACCCATAGGCAAATGAACAGAGAATTCAGGGACTGACAAGAACCCAACTTGGGACTGCATCAGAATTTGGCTCCAGTCTGATCTGTCACCTCAAGGACCCTGACACAGAAGCATGGGACTCCAGGATTTGAGATCTCTGCAGCTGCTGTGCCTCTTAGAGGCCATCTCTTTATTGCCTTGTATGTCCTGTGGGGGCTGCATACTGTAAGGCCCCAACACGTGGGAGGCTGGCTGGACCTATGTACTGGTGGGCTGAGTCCTCTCAGGGGACAGGCTGTGTTCTGACATTAAGAAGGTGACGTGGGCCGGGTGTTGGTGGTGCACGCCTTTGATCCCAACACTCGGGAGGCAGAGGCAGTCGGATCTCTGTGAGTTTGAGGCCAGCCTGGTCTCCAGAGTGAGGTCCAGGACAGTCAGGGCCACACAGAGAAACCCTGTCTCCAAAAACCAAAAAAACAACACAAAACAAAACAAAAAACCCCAAACAGAAACTACTACAACAAAAAGATGGTGGTGTGGGAGGCGGATGACTGGAAGAGTGTCCTCTCTTTAGGGACCGAGGCTCTTTTGTGCTATGAGGCCACAGCTTCGGCCTTCAGAGCCGTGACCTTGCATAACTGGAAGTGGCTTCTGTTGAGGAGCATGGTGTGTAAGCTGAGAGAGGGCTGCGAGGAGACGATAGTGTACATTGAGACAGGTGATGTACCTCCTAATGCTCACCCTTCCGCTCGCCCTCCTTCTTAGCTATACTTCCAGAAGCCAGGATTAGGATCACACATCTGCGCGCGCGTGCGCGCGCGCACGCACACACACACACACACACACACACACACACACACACGCACGCATGCACACAAGCACACCTGTATAGAAATTGGTAATAAAAGCATAGTGCTGATTATTTTAGATAGTAGCATGACCACATGCACAAAATAAAAAGGCAAGCTTGTAAGACACTTGTGTTCCTCCAGGGCACACAAAGTTAAAAGACTGCTAGAGCGACCGTTAGAGCGACTGCTTTGGGGGAGGTTAAGGAGTGAAAGTGAGGAGTAGAGATTACTGGCCAGAATGGGGTAGGTCTCAGTCAGATACCTGTAGTTGGGTCTCAGATACCTGTAGTGTAGGATGGACGTATACAGATCCCTGGGGGAGAGGGAAGGGTGAAGTCATAGGAGCCAGGGCAGCAGAGAGGCTCCCCTAAGAAGGATTAGGAGACACAGATAAAGACCCCAGATTCTCTGCCCCACGCAGGCACAGTGAGTGGGCACTGGAAGAGGCAAGCAGGGGCTAGAAGGGCCCAGGAAACAGAGGGGCTAGGAAGGGAGATAGCCTGAGAGGGGCCAGTGACACTGATCCCACTCTCTAATCCCCTGTTCCTCAGGGACCAGTAGGGGCATTGTGAGTTTTAAAGGCTGCACCTCAGCCTTATCTTACCCCCCACAAATCTCCTACCTCGTGTCTCCACCCGGAGTGTCGATCTCCTCCTACAGCCAAGTCTGCAGGACCTATCTCTGCAACAATATAACCAACTTGGAACCTTTTGTGAGACTGAAGTCCACTGAGCCTAAGTACACAGTGTCTTCTACCAAATTTTGTCCAACCTGTGTGGGCAGGCTTGACCAGGAGTGTCTTCCGGACTTCATCAGCACCCAGACCTGCCCCTTCACTGCTTCTTCATGTTACAGTTCCACCTTAAAATTACAGGCAGGTGAGCGGAGAAGAACTTTGATCAAATGTCTCTCTCTCTCTCTCTCTCTCTCTCTCTCTCTCTCTCTGTGTGTGTGTGTGTGTACTGTACCATAACTATGCATCTGTATACCTGAGAGACTGGTGGGTTCCCAAGATGGGATTCAGGGTACAGGAGACTAGACACATGAACTCCAAATAAGAATAAGGTTCTTGGTGTCCAAATGTCTCTTGGTGGGAGAGCAGGTGTCCTGACTAGTGAGGGCTTTTAGGAAGGGAACAGGACCCTTGAGTCTCGAAAATATCCCTGATTCTTCTCTTTCTTCCTTGTAGGGAATCTCAATACTACCTTCCTCATAATGGGCTGTGTTCGTGAGTCACACAAGCTTTTAGCAGACTTTCAGCATATTGGAAGCATCAGAGTGTTTGAGGCCGTCAACGTCTTAGAGAAGTCTCAGGCTGTTGGTGCAGGGCACCGTAGTCCGGGTCCTCCTTGGATCCTCCTCTTATTCCCTGTGCTCATCCTCAGTACCTGACCACCCGAGAGACTAGAAAAGTTATCAGACCCCCCTTGTGCCTAATAAAATAAATCACAGAATAAACAACCCTCTTGCTTTGTCCTGTGGTCTGTGAGAGTGTAGGGGGCGCACAGGAACAGAAGAGTCAGAGAAAGTGGGGTTCCTAGATGACCCCTGCTTTCTGCTCAGAAGCCAGGCCTGAGGAGCTGGGAGCTGGCATGGAGGGAAGCAGTTTAAGAGCTGGCAGTTTGGAAGGAGAAAGGCGTGTGTCATGGCTCCACCCTGTGGAACTAAGGTCTGGGCCTCCCTCCCTTCGTCTTTCCCTTTCTCTTTTCATTTCCTTCCTTACCTCTCAGTGTCTCCTTCCGTCCTCTGCTCTTGCTCCCCCCCCCACCTCCATCCTTCCTCTTCCCCTGGAGCTGACATTTAATGCAAATCAAAAGGTCTTCATCAAGCGACTCTCAGGCCCCTCCCAGATCCCCAGAGTTATTTAGATAGACATGTTTTCTTCTAGCGGAATTTCACAACACTTTATAGACTTTGTGTTACTTGATGCACAGAATTAAAAAAAAATAAGGCAGAGGTGGGGGTCCTGGAACTCTCTTTGTAGACTGGGCTGGACTTGAACTCACAGTGTCTCTCTCCCAAGTGCTGGGATTAAAGGCATGCGCCACCATGCCTGGATTTTTCTTTTGTTTGTCAATCCTCAACCCAAACCATTCATTGTTAACAGTTTTGGCAGTTGTGAACCATGTGAGGATAGGTATAGGGCAGTGTGGGAGCCAGCAGACGGCTTCTGGCCAGGATGCTGTCACCCTGGGAATGTTGTGAGTTTATGGCCATCACTGGCAAGTGGAGCATATTACTGGTGGGCAGGCATGGGCAACAGGAACAGAGGAGACAGCCACTTCAGAGAGCCATTGGGGACATGAGTACACAGGGATAACGAGAGAACATTGAGTTTAGGACACAGGACACATGGGACCCGGAGGCACACAGACACAAATGCGGTGACGTAGGTAACATAGGACATGCTTAGGTGACTGACACACGGAGAAACTTGGAATTCTGGGCTGCTCTGGAGAGCAGCTAGGAGGCTTCCTCCTTCACCACCCAGGCCTGGACTTGTTGGCAAGACACACGGAGGCAGGACTGGTTAGCTGTCCTTAGAGCCAAATAGGGGACCTTGTGACAGCATCTTCAGATCCTAAGGCTGAGTGGTGCCATCAGGGCTCTTGTCATGGGTGTAGCTGCTCACATCACAGCAGCAGTGTTCACTCCCTCAGGTCTAAAGAGCATTCCGTAGCATGGTTTGTGACATAGGGCTGGCCACCGCACTCAGAGCATCTTGGAGCAGTACTCGGTGCAGGTGGGGCTGACGCCAGGCCTTGCCCTTTTATCTTCTTTTTGAAATGGTAAAACATACCATTTTGTTGCATTGAGGGCACATGCTGGGCCCCCCAGTGAATGTGGTGACTCTAGAGACTTTGCTGGGATCGTGTGTGTGTGTGTGTGTGTGTGTGTGTGTGTGTGTGTCTGACTGTGTGAACCTCTGGTTTTCAAATCCTTTGTTTGGACCACTGGGATGACCTGAAGGCCCTCAGTCAGGGGCTTCTCATAGATATGGGAACTGGCACCCCTGATATTCATGTCTTTGGGTCTAAATAATGTGGCATAGCAGGGCTTTTGGTTGAAGGGCTCCTCATCATTCTCAGTGTGGCCCCCGGTGCCTCAGTGTCTTACTGCAGTGCTTACACTAGAGACAGAACTTGTACTGGTTCTTGTCAAAGTACAGAGTCTGGACACACTTAGGACACTTGGAAGCATATACATACATACATACATACATACATATATATATATAGTGTGTGTGTGTGTTTGTATTAACAGCAATATTTGGCTATACCTCATAGATCATAAATGCCACCTATTTCAAATTATCAGATTAGTTATTAGTATATCTACAGAAGAGTACAATCATCACCAAAATTTAAAATACTTTAATCAATTCTAGAAGAAACTGCAGTCATTAGTGGCCAGTCTCCAAAGGTCCCAAGTCTTCACAGCCCTAGGAAGCCATTAGTTTTCTTTGTGTATCTGCATATTTCCCCATGGTGGAGATAATGAATCATGTATAATTAAATCAAGCCGTAGGTTATTTTTTGTTTGACTGGATTCTTTTGTGTAGGATAATGTATGATATTGCAGTAAGCACCAATACTTCATTTCCTTGTGTGTGTGTGTGTGTGTGTGTGTGAGTGTGTGAGTGTGTGAGTGTGTGTGTGAGAGTGTGTGTGTGAGTGTGTGTGAGAGTGTGTGTGAGTGTGTGTGTAAGTGTGTGAGTGTGTGAGTGTGTGTGAGTGTGTGTGTGTGTGAGTGTGTGTGAGTGTGTGTGCGTGTGTGAGTGTGTGTGAGTGAGTATGTGTATGAGTGTGTGTGTGAGTGTGTGAGTGTGTGTGTGAGTGTGTGTGAGTGTGTGTGTGTGTGTGTGTGTGTGTGTGTGAGTGTGTGTGTGTGTGTTGTATACTTGGATGTATGTGGGTCTGTGTGCCTATGTGCCTGCACAGAGAGGCCAAAGAATCATGGGGAATATCCTATTGCTCTGGCTTAGTCCTTTGAGACAGGTGTAGTGACTAAGCTGGCACAGGGGCTTGTTAGGAGGAATCTTTCCACCAAAGCCGCCGAGCCCCACCGCCACGTGTGCGCTCTACGCCAGCCGCCCGCCCAAGTTAGGGCCCCAATTAATGCACAGAGAGACTTGTATTAGGTTCAAAGCTGCTTGGCCAATGACTAGCATTCTCGTCTGTTAGCTCAGTCTCAATTATCATAAATCTATATATTTTATAAGACTTATCAGATGCCTTATTGGCGTCCCTCCTTGCCGGTGGCTCACATCCCACTGCTGGAGGATGCGAAGGGGAAAAGAGGGGCACTTATTTCTCCTTGCTCAAATAAGAGTCTCCTTTCTATGTCACTTCCGGCCTGGATCACCACTTCTCTACTACATTTCCCAGTATCCTCTTTGACTCCTAGTCCTGTCTAACTTGCTGTTTCATTGGCCAAACTGAACTTTATTAAACAATCAATAAGATAAACATACACAGTACATGGGGCAAGCTCTCGAACCTACTGTCTCCAATCCCCAGGGCTAAGCAGGTACATAGGACCCTGCCTGTGTTTTATGTAGGTGATAGAGATTTGGGCATAGGTCCTCATGGTATCAACTGAGTCATCTCCCTATGTAGGTGGATTTTTCTGGACTGTAGGCTCCCCAATAATGTGGGAAATTACCAATTTAGAGTCAGGTAAAAATACAAGGGAATTTAATAGGGAAAAGCCTTACTTACAGAGGGACTTAGCCAGCTGGCAGGCAGCAGTAAGCACAGCAAGCCGAAGATGAAAGCAAAAGCAGGGCTTCCACGTAAGCGTCCCTCCCTCTTCAACTTTTCCCATGTCACCCTGACCATGCCCTCTCAGGCATGGTCAGGCACACCTGTAGCCAGCCCCTAAACAGGTGTGGCTACAACATCCCCTAAAATTCCCCTTTTAGTCTAAAAAAGTATTAAAACTTAACAGTGTAAAGTATTCAAAATTAACTATCATAAAGGTGAAATATAAGAAGACACAGCAATCTGCTTATGTCACATCCTAACTATTTTAAGTAAAATCTAAAGTCATCTGAAAGTGGTGTCCAAGCCTGAACACCTCCTTCCAATCACAACCATAAACAATAGGAAACTATCCCTAACTAGGTATACACTATCCTTAGTGACAACAATGAGGAAAGGGGGCGTAGCATCCTCCAAGTTACTTCCTGCTGAAATGGAACGGCGATAGCCTTGTAGGGTCTTGTAGGAAGAAAATGTTAGTATAGTGAAAGTCTTGAATGGATTGTATCCAGTCCATGTTAGGTGGGATTCGCTTGATTGAAGATCTCACTTGAAATCCTCAAATTGATTGAAGTCAGTACCTGAAGCTCTGGCCAGAGTGTCCACTGAAATGGAGTAAGTTATATCCAGTTCAGTCTAGGCAGTATGGCCTGATTTCCTTCTGGAGCTTCCAAGGATTGCTGTCAGGCAGGTCTTCATTGGCTGTGTGGGACTCAAACATAAGTGTTAACAGAGAAATGTTTGCTTGTATAAGTATGCATGCGGGAAAGGCAGTCATGGAAAAATAATGATTATGAGACATTGTACACCTTGAAGGAAAGAGCCAAGAAAGACAAAGACAGTCCCCAAATTCTTCTTTTATTCTGTATTACATCAATTGGCTTCTTGATACAATACAGAAACTCTAAAGTTTAGTTAAACAACGTGCTTGGATTTTAGAGGAGAAAAGCCAAATCCACCTCTAAATCCAGCATTGATTTACTTGAATAGGGAGTAGGAAGTAAAGAGAAATAGAGTCATTTGAGAGACAGCTGTAAAGTTTACCGTATGGCACATTCCTTTTGTTTGATGGTTATTGCTACCTTCTCTTCTTAAATATCTACCCATGCAGTGACTTTGACTTATGGAGATGAGTTTTCCTGTGAAGATAAAAGCAAAACACTTCCCTTTCCTTTGGGAGGTTTCTATTTAGTT